AGCTGTTTTACAGATTTCTGAACCACACACTCCCACCCTGCTCAGTGGTGGCTGTGCCGAGGGGGAAGTGATGACTGGAGACCAACAACGCCACGACAGGGAAAGTCCAGCCAAGCAGACACCGCAGCTCAGGAACTTCCCATACCTGCTTTTTTGGTTTTAATGCTCCTGCTGGTCCCACCGCCCCTGATGCTATCGGGTGGCAGCACGTCCTGTGGCAGAGTGACACATTTAATAGCATGTTGTGTGAAACAGCACTTCCGCCTGTTTATTTTGGCCCTGCTGCATCATACTTTCCTGTAAGAAACAGAAAATTGATGCTCCCTCCTCGCTTTCTCTGACCTGCCCATGACTTCACGCACCTGCATCATATCTCCTGTCAGCAAGTCTCCTCCCTAAGGTGAGGAAACAAGGCTTTGCTTGCCCAAAAACTTGCTCATCTGTGCTGCTCCTGCCTTTTCCAGCGCTCCCCTTTTGGGATGGTCTAACCATAACTACCAGGGCACAAACTGCCAACCATTTAGGCAGCAGCGTAATGATGTTTTCTATCTCATTCTCTGCTCCTTTAAAGTAATTCCAAAATATCCTTTTTAGGACACAGCAGGCTGTTGAAGTTGTTTTTAAAAAAAAAACAATTGCTAAGACACCAACAGCTCTTCCTTGAACAGTAAGAGCTGCTGTAGAGTCAATTACTGGAGTGTTTGTTGCCTTCATTACACCTGTTGCCATCATATCTCGTTTACCACACCACCACTCCCACCCAGTATTATCTGGTCTCTGCAACTCCACTCTCTGGTTTAGCTATCCTAGATAATTTAGGATTAAATTTTCCTTCTCCACATCACCATACTCAGGAAAACAAACAAAAAAAAAGAGCAGTGAAGATGACAGTGAAACTCCACAATAACCTCATTCCACTGTGAGCACCAATCACCTACCATTTTTTGCCACCTTTCAGTCATTTATTAAACCCAAAAAGGGCCTTCCCAGGCTGCCAGCCCTCTGCTTCTCAGGGAGGGCCTTGGCAGAAGTTTGGAAAGCCTAATGCAGCGGTCTGGGAATCACACCTGCAGACCAGGGTGATCCGCAGGGGGATTCAGGACCACCGGTGGACCTGAGAAACCAAGGTCAGACCCTTTCCTTCCCTCGCCTCCAAGAACAGCATCCCGATGTTCCCCAACGCCACATCTCCTCACATCCACGAGCTCCCCCCACCGTGCCAGCGATGTCCCGCAGCTCCAGGCCCGCTGCGCTCTGTGCCGCGGGGGCCTCGGGCCGCTGCTGCGGCACCTCCCGACCCCGGCGGAGCCGCCCCGCACTGCGGCCCCCGCCCCGCCCGCCCCGGGAGGCTCCTGCCGCCGCCAGCCCCACCCACGGCCGACACCGGGGCCCGACCGGGGCGGCCGCCGCCGCTCCACCCGCACCGGGGCCCGACACCAACCTCTGGGATGTCCCTGCCGCCCTCACCGAGGCCCGACACCAACCTCCAGGATGTCCCTGCCGCCCTCACCGGGGCCCGGCGCCGCCGCGGAGCCGGGCCGGGACTGACCCGCGGGCCAGGACTGACGCGGCCGCGCCGCTCCCCCGGTGAATGACCCGCGGGCTGGAGCTGACGCGGCCGCGTCGCTCTCCCCGGTGAATGACCCCCCCCCCCTTCCCCCCGCGTTCCCCACCGGGCCCGGCGCGGCCTTACCCGAGGGGCCGAGGGAAAATGGAGGCGGCGGCGGCGGCGAGCGCGGGGGGCGGAGCGGGGCGAGCCGCGACCTCCCGGCGGGCGGAGCGGCGGCGCTTCCGCTTCCTGCGGGGATGGGGCTGCTCCCGCTGCTGCTCCCGGTGCTGGCGGCGGCGGCGCTGGGCGCGGCGGGGCGCGGCGGCCCCGGGCCGGTCACCTGCGGCTCCGTGGTGAAGCTGCTCAATGTGCGGCACAACGTGCGGCTGCACTCGCACGATGTGCGCTACGGCTCCGGTAATGGGACGCGCACCCCCCATCCCCCCCCCCCGCTTTTTCCCTGCTCCTGGGTGTGATGGCGGGTCTCCCTCCTCCGCAGGCAGCGGGCAGCAGTCGGTGACCGGAGTGTCGGCGGCGGATGACGAGAACAGCTACTGGCGGGTGCGGGGCCGCACGGCCGCCGTGTGCCATCGGGGCACCCCGGTGCGGTGCGGGCAGGCCATCCGCCTCACCCACCTGGGCACCGGCCGCAACCTCCACAGCCACCGCTTCGCCTCCCCGCTCTCCGGCAACCAGGTACCCACCGCGGATCGCCCCCGAGCCCCGGGCTCAGCGCCTTTCCCTTGTCACTGCCCTCGCCCGGTCCCCTGAGTCCCTGCTGGGTTCGCCCTGGCCCTACCAGTCCCGATTTGGTCCCCCTTGTCCCTGGCACTCCCACCTTGTTTCCTAGTTCAGACTGGGTTCCTCTTGTCCTCCATGTCTCTCATCAGCCCTGCCTTGTTCCCCAGGCCCTACCAGATTCTTTCTCCGGGTCCCTACCAGTCTCTCCTTTTTTCCCAGTTCTCCTTGTGCCTACCAGTCCCAACTGAGTTCCCCTTGTCCCCCATCTCCCTACCGGTTCTGTCTTGTTCTCCAGTCCAGACTGGGTCCCCCTTGTCCCCCATGTCACTGCCAGCCCCATCTTATTCCCCAGTCTCTCCTGGATTCTCCCCGTCCCAACCAGGTCTCTCGTTTCCCTTCCTTGTGCCCTGGCCCCAGTCATGTCCCGTATGCCCTCAGCAGTCCCACCTTGTGCTTCAGTTCAGATTGGGTCCCTCTTGTCCCCCATGTCCCTACCAGCACTGCTTTTTCCCCTGGTCCCAGCTGGGTCCCTACCAGTCCCACCTTGTTCCCCAGTCTGTACTGGTTCCCCCTTGCCCTGCCAGTGCCTGAATCCCAACCAGACCCTCCAAGTCCCAATAACCATGTCCTTCCCAACCCTAGGCCCAGCCCCTTCTTCTGCCCACCCCAAGGTGCGAGTCCCCCCCCCCTTCATCTTGGCCCCCAAAATGAGCTGTTCTTCACCCCCAGGAGGTGAGTGCGTTTGGGGAGGCCGGCGAGGGTGACTACCTGGACGACTGGACAGTGGTGTGCAGTGGGACCTACTGGGTGCGGGACGACGAGGTTCGCTTCCAGCACACCTCCACTGACGTCTTCCTCTCGGTGACGGGGGAGCAGTATGGGCGGCCCATCCATGGGCAGAAGGAGGTGCATGGCATGGCGACGTCCAGCCAGAATAACTACTGGAAGGTGATGGAGGGCATCTTCATGCAGCCCGGCGAGGCCTTCAAAGCAGAGCACTACCACGCTGAGTTGTGAGGGACAGACAGACTGATGCTGAGACTGGGTGCTGCCCTGCCATGTTTGGGACCACTGAACCCAGGGGATGGCTTCTGTACCCACCTGGGACTGACACACACCAGGACAGAGCTCTAACACAAAGCAGATCCCAGTGTCCTGAATTCGATGTGGAGCAGATTCCAGTGTCCCTAATCTGAGATGAAGCAGGTCCCAGGATCCAGACCTGACCCAAAGCAGAGCCCAACACAAAGCCCTGACACAAAGCAGGTCCCAACATCCCAAATCCAGCACAAAGCCAAGCCCGACATCCAGACCCAACCCCAGAGCAGACTGACAAACTCTCACCCTGTCCCTTGCAGCCCCCTTATCCGTCCGAGGACTGCTGTCCCCAGGAACTGTACACCCCTGCTGTACCCCAAACCACTCTCCGTATCCTGCGGGGACCTGGGACCATAAAAGTGCTGAACCCTGCCCTGTGGTGTGACTGTTTGTGTGGGGAATGCAGAGAATAGCCCGGGGCTGGGGGCCAAACCTGGTGTCACCCCCTCGCCCCATTTTGGTACCTAGACCGAGTGTCACCTCTCGCCCCATCCAGTGCCGGACCCAATGTCACTCGCCCCCTCTCCCCATCCCGGTGTTACCCCGTTCATCTCATCCCAGCGCCAGCCCTAGTGTCACCCCCTGCCCCGTCGTGGTGCTGGACCCGGTGTCATTGCCTCACTGCATCCCGGTGCAGCCCCAGTGTCACCCCCTCGCTCCATCGCGGTGCCGGACCTGGTGTGTCACACCCCCTCGCCCCACCGCCGTGCGGCCGCGGTGTCACCCGCACGCTCCATCCCGGCGCAGGACCCGGTGTCGCTTCCCTTCTCCCCCCATCCCGGTGCCGGTCCCAGTCACCCCCTCTCCCTCCGTCCCGGTGCCGGTCCCGGTGTCACCGCTCGGCCTCGGCGGGGCGCTGCGGCGCCCGCGCTCTCCGGGAAGGCGCCGCTCGGCCCCGCCCCGTCCCGCCCCTCCCAGCGGCCACTCGGGGTGCGCGGGCGGCCCCTCGGGCGGCGGCGGGGCCGGGGCGGGTGGGAGGGAGGGAGGGGTCCGCACCGGGGCCGTGGGCCCGCACCGGGGCCGGGCCCGCCATGCCGCCGCCGCTGCCCGCCGCGCTCCTCGGCGTCGTCCTCATCGCGCTGCTCGCCGGGCTGCTGGCGCGGTCAGGGCCTGGGGGGCGGGTTTGGGGTCGTGGGGGAGCCCGCGGGGGCTCGAGGGGGGGTGTGACAGGGGTGGGGAGTGGGCGCGGAGCTGGCGGAGGGGTGATAGGGGGCTGGAGGGTGACAACGCGGCGGGTGGGGCTGTCCTGGGATGGGAGGAGCTCGCAAGGGTCAAGGGGTGGCCCGTGGGGCTGGCAGTGGGGTATCGGGAGGGGTTTGGGGGCCCACGGGAATTTTGGGGGGTGATAAGGGTGGTTGGGGTAGTGTCAGGGATGGAGGGGGCCCCACGAGGCTGAGGTTGAGGTGTTGGGGGTCTAGGAGGGGAGAAGCAGGGATTAAGGAGGACAAAGAGGGCTCTGGGGAGTTTGGGGAATTTGGGGGGCTCACAGGACTTGGAGGGAGTCTGGAGGGAATTGGGGGCTCCTAGGGCTAGGAGGTTGGGGATGTCAGTGCCTTGGGGGCATACAGAAGTTCATGGGAGTCTGCAGGAGTGGGCACGGGGTTGTCAGGGGGGCGTGGGGGTCAAAGGCACCCCTCAGGGCTTGGAGGATGTGTCAGAAATTGTTGGGGGTGACCCTGCAGGGTCTCTGCCCCAGCCTGGGGCCCTGGGAGCTCCTGTCCAGCTGTGGGTGCTGGAGCTGGTGCTCAAAGGGCAAAGAGGGCTGGTCCCCAGCCCCAGTGGGGAGGCTGACCCTGGCCTTCCCCCGTCCCCACAGGTGGCTGGCATGTCGCCTGGCTGTCACCTGGTGCCGGCAGAAGCTTCATGCGGAGCTGAAGATCGGCTCCTTCGGCTTCTTCTGGGCCCAGAACATCAGCCTCAAGTTTCAGCGGGAGCAGCAGACTGTGGTGGGTACCCGAGCAAGGGGTGGTCACGGGCAGACGGGCAGAGAGGGTGGTTACGGTCACTTACAGGCTGGCAGCAAATCTGTGTAGCCGTGCTCCTGTTGGGCATCCCCATGGCTGGTGCCAGGCCCTTCCTCCAAGGGCCACACTTGGGGTTTTAGCTGCTCCTTGAATGATCCCAGGCATTGGGAGTAGAGCAGGAATGTCAGGATGAGCATCATAAGGCTCAGGTTGTTTCTTCTCTGACCTGCCCGTGTGTCCTTGCAGGAGATTGATAACATCTGGATCTCCAGTAAACTGAGCCGGGAGCTGCCGTATGTACCCCCACGCCACCTCCCTGCCTGCTCGCCTGGGGGGTCTGGCTCACCCCTAGCCCCATTGACTGTGGTCCTGCTGCCTTTACACCTTCCTGACATCCCTATTTCCCCATGGTCTGCTCTGTGAGAGAGTGAACCACTTTTTGAGGTGGCAGTGTCTTGTGGGTGCCCTTGTGCCGGTCCTGCACATCCCTGGGATGGGGGACATCACTGGTGGTGGGGCTGGGTGTGCCAAGTGTGAGCTCTTGTAAGAGCTGCCTGTGCTGTTCTCCCACAGGCGCTACTTCGAGCTGTGTTTTGGCGAGGTGCGAATCCGCACGGATCTCCAGAAGGGCCCTGGGTTCCAGCCGTCCGTCCCGGAGGCTCCCAGAGAAGCTGACGGAAATGAAAGCAAAGCAGACCTGACTCTTAAACCCTCCCTGCTAAGGCTACTTAGCCAGGTGAGGCACTGGCTTGATGAGAGGCTGTTGTGGGCTGCGCTGCTGTCGGATATCCCTCACTGTAGCACCTTCCTCCCAGCTCTTTTCCATCCACATGGATTCCATCAACATCATGGTTCTGCACGTGGCCACCTCAGAGTCTCTCTGGCACATCCAGGCCAGCCAGACGCGTCTCCTCCTGAATGGCAACGGGAAGAGGTAATACTGTGCTTGCATGCACTCTGCTTCAGGGGCAGGGAGGCTCCTCTGACCCCAGCCTGGTGTCTTCTCTCTCTGTTCCACTCAGCAGCATCTCATGTCACCTGTGATATGACACATTAACCTCCTCCAGGCTGGCCTGGTTCCTTTTTGCATCACGGGAAGCTTGAGTTGTGTGTTCTCCAAATAATGTGTTGCTGGTGTGCATGGACTTAGGGCATGATCTGCTTTGAGGAGCACTTGAAGCAGGGACTTGGGATCCCCGTGTCCCACAGAAAAGAGAGGACAGGGACTTGGTTTGGCAGCAGCAAGGCCCCCATCCTCCCTCTCTTTTCTGCTTTCCCCAGCCTGACCTGCGAGGTGAGCCTGACAAAGGTGAACAGCAAAGTCCTCCGGAGCAGCCAGCTGGTGAGTGCTGGAGAATTCCACACTTGGAGCCTGGGCACCGGCTCTGTGGGATACCCTGAGGACCCACTCCAGCATGTCCCTGAGGCTGGGCAATGCTGTAAGGCTCTGAGCCTAATGCTGGGCACCTGCAGCATCTGCTGGCAGGATATTGGGTGTCACTTCTTGCTGTATCCCCACGCAGGATGACACGTGCCTGGCAGAGCTGGCCCTGGCACTCTCCCTCTCGCTGGAGATCAGCAGCAAGCGGCGGCTGGTGGGCGTCCGGCTGTGCATCCGGACACTGCAGGCAGAGCTGCACGAGGGGCTTTTCTGCAGCCCCCTCCTGCACCACGTCACTGCCGGGGCCCAGCACAGCAGCACAGGGGAACAGCCCAGCACAGGTCAGGACAGGGACAGGGACAAGCTCCAGGCCTGGCAGGGGCTGGCAGCCCCCATGCTTGCACTGGATCCAGAGGGATTTGGCTGTGCCGTCATTCCCTCCTGCTGCAGAGTGTGGGGCTTTGGGCAAGAGCTGTCCCATGACTGTGTTCTTCTCCAGGCCCTGAGGAGCCCCCAAAGTCCCTGTCTGTGCTGAGCAGGGACACTCTGCAGCTTATCCCCAGGAGGGTGGAGATGAAGCTGGAGAACACTAGCGTGGTGCTGTCCATGAACAGCCAGAAGAGGTAAGGAGGCAGGTGGAGGCAAGAGGCTGTCCTAAACCAAATTAGTGCTTGGGACATGGACCTGGAAACAGCTGTGCCATTCCCTGCTCATCCAGACTGCAGAGAGTGAGTCCTAGAGCCCACCCCAGTGGGAAGGACTGAGCTTAAGCTTGGCCAGGGGCTGGGCTCTTGGGGAGGGAGGAAGGACATGAGCTGGTTCTCTAGCAGGACAGCCTGATGGGATGCTCTGCTGATGGGATGCGAGCACTGGGCTGAGCTTCAGCTGGGCACTGGCTGGTGTCTGTCCATGCCAGCATGCTGGTCAGCTGGTGATGAGAAATGGGGAGATGAAGGATGTGATGGTGTGGTTCCCTTCTGACAGTGTTTCCCCGCTTCTTACAGGCACCTCACCTGGAGCCTGAAGCTGCTGCAGTTTCTATATCAGCGTGAAGACGAGCAGATCCCACTGCGCAACTTCACGCCCAGCTCAGACCTGGACCAAATGAGTGTAGACCTCCAGCTGGAGGGCAAGTAGCCAGAAGGGAGGGCAGGAGAGGGCTGCCACCACTCCTCTCTACCACCCCTGACTTCTGCTCCTCTCTCTCCACAGATGGCCTTCTCCTGTCCCAGAGCCGCCAACGCATCGTGTGCCTCAACTCCCTGAAGACCAGCCTACAGGTAAGCGATTGCTGGGCACAGTCCTTTCTCCTGGAGGTGACTGGTTTGGCTCCTGGCATGAGTTTTTTGCCACCTGGCCCTCTTCCTGCTCTAGGTCACAGCCATTGACCTCTCAGCTGCTGTTCTGCTCAACACCTGCATCATCCACTACCGTCACCAAGAGTTTTCACACTGGCTGGGCCTGTTGGCACAAGAGTACAGGTGCCGGGCAGTGCCTGTCCCCAGCCAAGGGCACAAAGGAAGGTAAACTTGGCCTCAGCACAGCTGCTGGTATCACAGCTTGTTTGCTCTTGCCACACTCTGGCAGGGTGCCTGGGCACTCAGCACCTTCTCTGCCCTGCGCACAGCCTGTGGGATGGGGTGGTTGGTACAGAGAGTGGGAGGTGATCAGGTGGCTCCTAAAGAGAGGGTGTCCCTCTGGGCCTGTTCCCTGCCATGCTCTATGGCCTACAGCTCCCAGTAAAAGACCATCCCTGCTTGTCCCATGCAGGAGCTATCCCCAAATCATAGCGCCCATCATCCTGAGTGCCTCACTGTCCAACGTCAGTGTGTCCGTGCAGCTGGGGGACACACCACCCTTCGCCTTGGGCTTCAACTCCATCTCTGCAGGTACGGGTTGGCATCAGGGTGGCTGCTGGGCTCTTCTTGGGGGTTGATGGCTGTGCCAGAGAGGTGCTAGGAGGGGAACAGGGACGGCCGTGCTACCACTGTACTTACCTGTGTCTGCATGTGGCCAGGGGCTGTGGATCCCTGACTGGTTGTGCCTGTGTTTGGGCAAGCCCTGCCCACACTCACCCTCTCCTCTCTGCTCACAGACTACCAGCACCTGCGGCCGCAGAGTGTGCACCAGCGAGCGGTGCTGGCCGTGGACCACCTGTGCTGGCGTGTGGGCAACGACTCGCACATCCAGCGTGCCCCACATCCCCCCAACATGCACGTGTGGGGAGAAGCCCTCATCCTCGACTCCTTCAACCTCCAGGTGAGGGGCAAGCCAAGGGGGCAAGGGTGGCTTTCAGGACAGAGATGCCATGTGGGTGGTATGGGGACATCCTGCAGCCTGAGAGCGATCATCCTGTTTGTCCTGCAGGGCAGCTACAACCAGCCCCTGGGCATGTCCAGCGCCCAGTCGGATACGCTTTTCCTGGACTGCACCATCCGGGGGTTGCAAGTGGAGTCGTCAGACACCTGCACTGAGTGCCTGGCCAGGGTCCTGCCCCTGTTCTGCCCACAGCCCAGCGGAGCTGAGCTTGCCAAACAGCCCCCCTCTGCCTCCAGTGAGCCCTGGCGGCTGCTCTGGAAGGTGGATCTGAAGGTGGAGGATGTGAACCTTTTCACACTCTCGGCCCTGGTGGGTAAGTAGCATCCAGGCTGATCCCAGGTGGCTGTCCTGCAATAACCCGACAGCTGGGAGTCTGGCATGCTGTGGTGTGCCTCCTCCATGCCTCCAGCACTGATGTGCTGTCTCTCTAGGTGCCTTGGAGCTGCGGCTGGACACGCTGACTGTCCTGGGAAGTGCTGAGAGCTGCACAGTCAGCGTGCAGGGCATGGTGCTGGCCTTGGTGAAGAGCATCACTGAGAAGATGCAGCCGTGCTGCAAAGCTCCTGCCATCCCCAACCCGGTGGCCAACCTCTCCATGCTCTCTGTCACCTACCACAGCAGCATCCGCTCCCTGGAGGTTGGTTTGGGTGTCAGGACACTGCTTTATCCTGTAGTAGTGGGACTGGGATGGATGGGGCAGGGGGAGGATTGGCTGGCACCGAAAGGTGCTGGGGAGGAGAACGGGGCTGTGCTGTGCTGGCCCTGGCAGTGACGTGGTGCCTGCTTGCTCTCTCTGGCACAGGTGCAGTGCGGTGAGGGGCTGGCAGTGCTGTGGAGTCCTCCTGACCATATGCACCTCTACCATCACACCCTGGCCACCCTGCAGTGCCACGAAGCCTTGTGGAACGCCCTTGGCCACAGGACGCTTCCCTCCCTACCCCCAGAGAGCCCCACGTCCCACCCGACCACCCCTACTGAATCACTGGGGCCCCTTCAGCCAAAAGGGCCATCCTCCAAAAGACTTTTGTCCCTGTCCCTAGAGCTGAGCTCCACCAAAGTCACAGCCTTTGTCTCCGAGGCCAACTACATCAGCCTGGCTGCCGAGCGGACCTCGGTGAGCTGGCATGGTGGTGCCCTGCACGGCTACTGCCCCGAGCTGGCCGCTGGCTTTGACGGGCACAGCATCTTCAGCTTCAAGGAGGTGGAGGTGAAACTGCTGCCAGAGCTGGAGGAGGTCATCCGGCACCGCGACGCCTTCCCCACCCTGCGCACCCTCCGCAACCGCGGCTGGGCCTTCTCCTTTGCCAGTGTGACCATCGAGTTCCCCTACCAGTACGACTTCTCCCGCACGCTGGACGCTGCCGTGGGTGTGCAGAAGTGGCTGAAGGGCCTTCACCGGCCTGGGCGCCCCACCAGCACGGCGCTGCCCCCAGACCTCCTGCTTAAAGTGACCCACTTCTCCTGGGTCTTCCTGGACGATGTCTTTGAGGTCAAGTTACGAGACAACTATGAGCTGATGAAGGACGAGAGCAAGGAGAGCGCCAAGCGCCTGCAGCTGCTGGACGCCAAGGTGGCTGCGCTGCGCAAGCAGCACGGGGAGCTGCTGCCTGCCCGCAAGATCGAGGAGCTGTACGCCTCACTGGAGAAGAAGAACATCGAGATCTACATCCAGCGCTCGCGGCGCCTCTACGCCAACACACCCATGCGGAGGGCACTTCTCACCTGGACCCTGGCCCACCTGGAGCTGGTGGCCATGGCTGATGAGTCCTTCCATGGCACAGAACGTGTATTGGAGCAGATGAGGGACCTGGATGATGTTAGCCCGTTCCCCTCCGAGGGTCTGGAGATGGTCACCCAGTGGTGCCGCATGATGAAGGGCAGAGTTGGCAGCTTCTTTGGTGAGTTGCTTCGCGTGAGGGTGCCCTTGGAGGACAGCACAATGGCTGTGACGGCTGGGCTTCCAGGACGGGGACCTGCTGACACCATGCAAGCAGGGAAAATGATTTTTGGAGGTCCAAGGGAGTGGGAGGGGAGCAGAAATGTGACAGGAGAGTGGTTCCTTGTGTGGCTGAGAGTGGGGGACTGGGGCAGTGTCCCTTTGCTGCCGCATGTCTCAGTGCTTCCTCCGCCCTGCAGTGCGGATCCGTGACTACCCTCGCTACCTCTTTGAGATCCGGAACTGGCAGCTCTCCGGCCGGCTGATCGGAGCCGAGCAGTGCGGCCAGGCCTGCTCCCGGCGCCGCCAGGTCCTGAAGCTGGGGCTGCCCTGGGGGGATGCCACGGTGGAGAGGAACATGCCACCCTTGAAGTTCTACCACGACTTTCACTGTAAGAGGAATGGGGGGCTCTGTGCTGGGGTAGGGATGGGGCAGCGTGGGATGTGCAAATGGCTGAGCCAATCTCTGCGTTCCCAGCTGTGATCTCCCAGTACACCATCGTGTGGGGGCCCTGCTGGGACCCAGCCTGGACCCTGATTGGCCAGTGTGTGGATCTTCTCACGAAGCCCTCAGAGGATCCCAGTGCCCCGTTGCCCTGGTGGGACAAGAGCCGCCTTCTCTTCCACGGAGACTGGCACATGGACATTGAACAGGCCAACCTGCACCAGCTGGCCACTGAGGTGGGTGCTGCTGGGCTGGGGAACAGAGCATGGCGCGGGGTCAGCTCACACCTCCCTCTCCTCATGCTTGTCCTTGCAGGACCCCTACAACACCACAGAGAACATGCACTGGGAGTGGAGCCAACTGTCCTTCCACTGGAAGCCTGGGCAGTTTGTCTTCAAGGGCAACCTGGATATCAATGTCCGGACAGCCTCCAAGTGAGTGTGGGCCCTGGAGCACAGAGGCCTCCACCAGTGCCAGGGAATGACTGGGGTCTCTTTCTGCATTCAGGTATGATGACTGCTGCTTCCTGCACCTGCCTGACCTGTGCATGACGCTAGACCTGCAGTGGCTGTGCCACGGGAACCCCCATGACCACCATGGTGTGGTGCTGCGCTCCCCCGAATTCCTGCCCGAGGTGCCAGTAGGGCAGCAGTATGACTCCTACCGTGCCTTCCGCTCCGAGAACCTCAACCTCTCCATCCGAATGGACCTGACACGGCCCAGTAAAGGTGAGTGATAGTGTCCTGGGGATCCCTTTGGGACAAGGGGGACGGGGCGGAGCATGCTGGTTTGAGCAATCCTTATGTGTCCTGGGTTGGGTGCTGCCATGTCCCTGCCCCAGGGTGCTGACAGTGGGTATATTCTCAGAGCACTCCCAGCCCCGGATCCTGCTCTACAGCAGCACCCTCCGCTGGATGCAGAATTTTTGGGCCACGTGGACCAGCGTGACACGACCCATCTGCCGCGGGAAGCTCTTCAACAACATGAAACCCAGCAAGAAGAAGCTGGGGCAGCATTACAAGCAGTTGTCCTATACAGCACTCTTCCCTCGGCTGCAGGCAAGTCCCAGGGGTGGGGGGCTGGTATTACCTCCCTGCTGTGCCTGCGCTGGGCTCTCAGCTGGACTCTGCTCTCTCACAGGTGCATTACTGGGCCTCCTTTGCCCAGCAGCGGGGGATCCAGGTGGAATGCTGCCAGGGACACATCTTCACTCGTGGCACCCAACGGCTCATACCGCAAGGTGAGTGGGAATCCTGCCAGCAGCACTTCCTTGTATGGCAGGGCCCTGGCTGACCCCCTCCCTCTGTCCCCCAGCTGGCACAGTGATGCGACGCCTCATTTCCGAGTGGAGCATCACGCAGATGGTGAGCGACCTGAGCCAGGTCACCGTGCACCTCATGGCCTCCACTTGCGATGAGAATGCCGACCACCAGCTCGACACCCTGGTGAAGAAAACCCACCTGCTGAGCCTGTCCTCCCTCACCTACCAGCGGCACAGCAACCGCACGGCTGAGGAGGTAGCGCTGCAAACACAGGGCACGGCATCCTGTGCTGGCCTGGTGGCATCCCCAGGACAGGGGGACCTTGGTTGTTGAGTGCAATGGGGGAGGGATTCGGCTTCAGAGGAGACAGGTCTTCAGGGCCTCTGATCTCCCAAGCACCTGGCCTTGTTCCACCCACAGCATCCCTGGCATGGGCCCATGCTGGGGACTCTGGGGTGGTCCCCCAGGCTCTGGCCCCCACGTTCTACCTGTAGGGCCTGGCAGGGCTCCCAGCCCCTGTGTGTGAGGCCCGTGGTCACAGGCTGGAGGTAGCTTTGCCATGCTGAGGCTCTCACCCTCCGTGCCCAGGAGCTGCCCCTGCGCGATGGGGACGATGGTTTCCACACGCACCAGCTGCACTTGGTGGACCTGCGGGCGTCCTGGACCACCACGAACCGGGACATCGCCTTCGGCCTCTACGACGGCTACAAGAAAGCGGCTGTGCTCAAGCGCAACCTGTCCACCGAGGCCCTCAAGGGGCTGAAGATCGACACACAGCTGCAGGCCAAGAAGCTGAAGCGGGGCCCGCTCTCTGCTCACTCCATCCCTGCCAGAGTGACTGCTCCCATCACCAGTGGCCGACCCGAGAGAGCCTCCTCGGGGGGTGAGCACAGTGGGGAGGGGAGCAAGGGGCAGCCCACAGCTGAAAGCCATGCTTCCCTTCACCCTGTACTCCCCCAGCCAGCCCCCTGCAGCCTTGCACTGACTCTTTTTCCCTCCCCAGGGGCTTACATGCTGCAGAAGCTCATTGAGGAGACAGACAAGTTCGTGGTATTCACGGAGGAGGAGTCGGGGGCCAGTGAGCAGCTCTGCGGCATCGCCGCCTGTCAGACCGACGACATCTACAACCGCAACTGCCTCATCGAGCTGGTGAACTGCCAGGTGCCTGCCTGTCCCCACGACCTGGCTGTGAGAGGGCCCCAGAAAGGCTGGTCTGACCCCCGGGGTCCCTCTCCCCACAGATGGTTCTGCGCGGCGCAGAGACGGAGGGCTGTGTGATTGTGTCTGCTGCCAAGGCCCAGCTGCTGCAGTGCCAGCACCACCCTGCCTGGTATGGGGACACACTGAAGCAGAAGACGTCCTGGACGTGCCTGCTAGATGGCATGCAGTACTTCGCCACGACAGAGAGCAGCCCCTCTGAGGGGGAGCACGGGCAACTCTGGCTGGAGGTGAGTGTCTGGGGAGCTGTGATAGGTGAGCTATGTGGGAGACGGGCAGTGCTGTCTGACCTGGCCAAGGCAGGGAGAATGGGGACAGCCAGTGGTGCCTTCTTGCCTCCCCAGGTGAAAAATATTGAGGAGCATCGGCAAAGGAGCCTGGACTCGGTGCAGGAGCTGATGGAGAGCGGGCAGGCAGTGGGGGGCATGGTCAGCACCACGACAGGTACTGTCTACAGGGCTGGCTGCTGTGCCTACCCCAGTCCTGCTTGTGTGTGACCCCAAGGCTGGTGGAGCTGAGAGCATCTGACCTGTCCGTGCATGGCCCCAGGAGCTGGCTGATGCTCTGAGCCCTGCACCATGAAGTTCCCGATGTGCCAGGACATGGTGCTCTGACCGTGGTGCCTCTGCCTGTCCCCAGACTGGAACCAGCCCTCGGAAGCCCAGCAGACCCAGCAGGTACAGAGGATCATCTCTCGCTGCAGCTGCCGCATGTACTACATCAGCTACAGCCATGACATTGACCCTGAGCTGGCCACGCAGATAAAGCCACCCGAGACTCCTGCCAACCAGGAGAAGGAGGATCTGCTGAAGAAGCAGGAGGGTCAGTATGTCCAGGCAGTGTGCCTTGGAGCAAAGCTCTGGGCTGACCCACAGGTGCTTGCTAACTCCAGGGGTGGTCTGTGTTGGCCCTGCTGAGATCAGAGGGGTGCACACAGCCCCTGCAGTGCACCAGATGATGCTGAGCATGCTGTGCCTGCTGGAACCAGTGTAACCCCCATCTGTCTCTGGCTGGTCGCCATTTGCATCCTGTTTCTGGCCATGCTGAGGCCCCACTTGCCTTTTATGTTGCTGCAGGAGCTGTGGATACCTTCACACTGATCCACCACGACCTGGAGATCTCCACCAACCCGGCACAGTATGCCATGATCCTTGACATAGTCAACAACCTGCTGCTGCACGTGGAGCCCAAACGCAAGGTACCCACCTGTATGCTCCAAATATGCACACAGTTAACCAGAGAGCTAAGCATGGGCTTTCAGGTACTGAAGGAAGTTTATTTTGGAAACACTTTACAACTGTGAAACTCACAGCTGGGTGGAAAGAAACAACACACACCAAGCAGGGCTCCTTGTCCATGCATACCAAAGGCCCAGGCATGCCCATACTGCCCTGTGGGCTGCTTTTTGCAGTTTTTTCCCTTTTTCTTCTCCTCTTTCCTTCCCCCCTCTGTGGGAAAGAATGCTTTTATGTACCTTGCAAACACCTTTTTTGATAAGGGTTTGCCTGTTCTGTGTGTCCTGGCAAAAAGTCGTCCAGCCCGAGGGAAAGACAGAATATCAGCTGATCTCATACGTTCTTCCAAACTTAGTTTTTTTTCAGCCACAAAATGTGTCTTGAGCAAGGAGAAATTCTCAAAAAGAGAAATTCTCCTCACCTATTTCTTGCCCGGGGTCCCCTTGATGACGGACAGTAATGCACTCAGACTGCATTTTGCATGCAAGGATTTTATTATAAACAAACTTGTTCTTTTTACCTACTTTTTCTGTGTCCACGCGCTTGTATCTCATCTCTAATTGGTCTCTAGCTTCTGTTCACATGCCCCATCTCGTCTCTTGACAGGTCACTGGTATCTCTTCTCATGTCCAAACACATTCCTCTATCTGCAGCTGTTTTTCTTCTCTTTCTCACGTTTTCTTCCTTAATGATGTTTTACTTGTTCCTTTGCCAGGCCACAGCTGTAGCTCAAGGTCAAAGCTGGTTGCTACATCCCCTCAACCCCCTACACCACAGGACTTCAGGTCACTGTGTCACTCACTGCACCCAGACACTCCTAACCTTCCCTTGTCCCCATGTCCAGGAGCACAGCGAGAAGAAACAGCGGGTGCGCTTCCAGCTGGAAATCTCCAGCAACCCCGAGGAGCAGCGCAGCAGTATCCTACACCTGCAAGAGGCTGTGCGGCAGCACGTGGCCCAGATCCGGCAGCTGGAGAAGCAGATGTACTCCAACATGAAGGTGAGCCCACATACAGGCAGTGCCCAGCTCCCCAGGATCCCCACTCCAGGGCAGAGGGTGCTGAGGGTTGTCTGTCCTTCAGTCCTTGAAGGATGACAGCAAAAACGAGATCCTGCTCGACCTGAACCACAGGCTGCAGCAGCAGCTAAGCCAGGAGAAAGCTGACCTGCAGCTGGAGAGCGAGGAGCTGAACATACTCATCAGGTAGGACGGGGGGAATGGCTTGAAACTGAAAGCAGGTTTGGATTGGGTATTAGGAACAAATTATTCCCTGTGAGGGTGGTGAGGCCCTGGCACAGATTGCCCAGAGAAGCTGTGGCTGCCCCAGCCCTGAAAGTGTCCAAGGCCAGGTTGGACAGGGCTTGGAGCAACCTGGTCTAGTGGAAGGTGTCCCTGCCTGTAACAGGGGGTTGGAAATAGATGAGAATTAAGGTCCCTTCCAGTCCAAACCGTTCTATGATTCTATGATCTCTGGCTTCCTTAGCATTGTGTCCCTCTTACTGAGGGCTCCCACATCCCAGTGCTCTCCTCTCTGCTGCAGGTGCTTCAAGGACTTCCAGCTGCAGCGAGCCAACAAGATGGAGCTGCGAAAGCAGCCGGAGGATGTGAGCGTGGCACGGCGCACGGAGTTCTACTTTGCCCAGGCCCGCTGGCGCCTGACCGAGGAGGACGGGCAGCTGGGCATAGCCGAGCTGGAGCTCCAGCGCTTCCTCTACAGCAAGGTGTGGAGCTAGCCAGTGATACCCACAGCCCCCGAGCTGGGGACAGGGACATGGAGGGCTGACAGGTTTGTCTGTGCAGGTCAACAAGTCTGATGACACGGCTGAGCATCTGCTGGAGCTGGGCTGGGTGACAATGAACAACCTCCTGCCCAACGCTGTGTACAAGGCAAGTGGAAGCCTGGGGGAGCAGCCCTGTGTCCTGGAGACACGTAGGTGGCCTGGCCAGAGTGGCCTGTCCTCACCCCAGCCACCCGTCCTCTTCCCTGCAGGTGGTGCTGCGTCCCCAGAGCTCCTGCCAGTCTGGCCGGCAGCTGGCACTGAGGATTTTCAGCAAGGTCCGGCCACCCGTGGGAGGCATCTCCATCAAGGAGCATTTTGAGGTGCCAGGACTGGACTGGGTCTCTGTGGGGCATAGGGAGCATATGCCTGGCTCTGACATGTCTCTCTCCCCACAGGTGAACGTGGTACCCCTCACCATCCAGCTCACCCACCAGTTCTTTCACAGGATGATGGGTTTCTTCTTCCCTGGTCGTAATGTGGAGGAGGAGGAGGTGGGGGATGAGGAAGATAAGTCCAAGCTGGTGACGACAGGTGAGAAGCTCATGATCACCCTCCTCCCTGGATGTCCTTGCGCAGCTCTGTCTGCATGTCCAGGTTATGTTTGTGGGCAGCTGCTGGCAAGCCACGTGTTGAGGAACAGGGATTTTTGGTCTCCCCTGTGGACAGAGAGCTGGTGGGAGGGTCTGGGTCATGGCTAACCCCCAGCTGGACACCAGCCACCACCTCCCACCCTGTTTGCCCCAGGGATCCCCGTGGTGAAGCCGCGGCAGCTGATCGTGGCCGATGACTCACTGGGCCCAGGCAAGGGAGTTGCTCAGGGACTGAATCGAACATCAGGGGTCAGAAGATCATTCCGAAAAGCACCCGAGGTACCTGCTGCTGCCTTGAGGGGGGAATCTGGGAGAGCCCTGCTGTGGTGTCAGTCTGTTTTTCCTTGGCTTCAGGGCTGGCCAGCCATATCCTCCCCCACTTGCCTGTCTGTTCTCTCCTGCTCCCTCCCACCATGAGGATTTGCATTCCTTACAACCAGGCGCCTGCACGCTTGATATGATCCCTGCAGCATCTCATTTTTCTACCACCATGCCAGAGCAGCTCTCACCTCTCCCTGGTGAAGCAATGCCTTGGCCTAGTGCCCGGCTGTCCCTTCCCTGCTGGTTCCTGGCTGTGTCCCCTCTCCTTCTGTTGCCTTAAGAGACCGCAGAAAAACAGGACTCCAAGACAACTTAGTGGATAAGATAAGATAAAGAGGGTAGATCCTGTGCCTGCATGTTATCTTGTTGTCCAGGCCAGAGTGCAGATATTCTTAAACAGAATGAAGGCCTACCTTGAGGGAACTCTAAACAAGCTAATGGAATTTTGAGGGAGCGATATGGGACAGGGTTTGGTATGTGAACCCTTAAGCTACTGCCGTTACTTTTACTGGAAAATACTGCTAAGGCATATAATACAGCTATTTCTAAAATCTAGAAAAAGCTAAAAATCCAATAATCCATACGCATCACTTCCCTTCTGCTCATGGTTCCTGCTCTGTCTCCAGCATCCTGTGGATGACATCGACAAGATGAAGGAGCGTGCAGCCATGAACAACTCCTTCATCTACATCAAGATCCCGCAGGTGCCACTCTGTGTCAGCTACAAGGTACGGGGCTGGAGGGACGGGCCATGCTGGGGGTGATCTGGGGCATCGTCCCACACTACCTGACACCCCCATCACTCAGGGTGAGAAGAACAGCGTGGACTGGGGTGACCTGAACCTGGTGCTGCCGTGCCTGGAGTACCACAACAACACGTGGACGTGGCTGGACTTTGCCATGGCGGTGAAGAGGGACAGCCGCAAAGCCTTGGTAGCACAGGTATGTGTGGGACCCCATCCCACTTCCCACTCTGGAGGCTTCCAGAGCTGCTCTGCCCAGATTGGAGATGGTAACCCCAGGCAGGTGACGTGTCCTGCATAGTGGGAAGCAGCCACACTGGCTCAGCAACTCAGGCTCTCCCCCATGCCGAGGGGCCTGGGTGTGGCCATGGAGTGCTGAGCCCCCTAAATCCCGGGGCAGGTGATCAAAGAGAAGCTACGCCTGAAGCCAGCTGCGGGCGCAGAGGCCCGGGGGAAGCTGGAGAGCAAATCAGACGGGACCATCCAGCAGCAGGAGGAGGACGAGAAGGCGCGTCTGCTCATCGGGCTGAGCGTGGGCGAGAAGAACCCCAGCAAGAAGTCGATCTTTGGCAGGCGCAAATGACAGCAGCACCCGGCAGGCCGGGAAGGGACTGGGGTGCCCCGTGCTCCCCCCTTGGGGGGGCACCCCTAAGGCGGAGGGGGGCTGTGCTGCTCGGCACAGTGATGCCCGAGGCAGGGATTAGCCATGTGCAGGCCCTCGGCAGCCCCATTGCTGTGGGGCAGGGGTGCAGCAGCACGGGGACGTGGGGGCACAAGGTGCTCCGGAGCTGCTTTGTGGGGTGCAGGCCCTCGTGCCAAGGGCTCCCACGAGCTTCACCCCCTCCCTGCTGTGCGGGTGCTGGGCCCATCCCCTGGGCCTGGTGAAGCAGCAGGATCGCTCCAGGCTGGGAGAAAGGGGAACAGGAGAGAGTTTAAATAAAAGAGTTTTTAATTTGGAAGAGTCTTGAGCCAGTGGCTTCTCACCTCCCTGCAGTGTCAGGCTCAGTGCTGTCCCCTCCCTCAGCCTGACAGCACCCTGTCTGTGGGGGCTTCATCCCTTGCCCTTCCCCAGGAGTTGCTCGGGGAACCCACTTCAGGGGCTCAGCCTGTACACTTAGCCCTCTCAGGTCTTCTCCATGAGCCCATCGGTGCCTGGGGCCATGCCAGGGCTCAGTGTGGGCTGTGTGCACACCCTGGTGGCCGCAGCAAGTGGGGTGCAAAGGAAAGGTTGAAGGGGGAGCCCCAAAGTGTGCAAGGAGGGATCCTGGAGTGAGGCAGGATCAGTCATGGGGAGCGCTGGCAACCCTGGTGTGTGTAGGGGGGATCCCGGATCAGGGGCGAGATCAGTCACGGGTGAGTGAGCAACCCCAAAGTGGTGGTGGGGGGGGTCCCGGAGGGTGGGGGATCGGTCACGGGTGGGTGTCGCGGTGCAAGGGGCAGCACCGCCGCCGTGCCCCGGGGCGGGGGGTGGTCGCGGCGGGCGGGGCGGGGCGGGGCGGCGGGGTTATGTAAGGCGGCGATTACCGGGGACCGGGCCCGGGGCGCGGCCGGGCGGCGCCGCGATGGGAGCAACGAGCAGCGGCCCCGGCCCGGCCCCGGCCCCGGTGCGGCCCCCCCAGGTGCGTGCGGCGGCATCATCCCGGGGGGTCCCCCCGGGCATCCCCCGCCCCGGGATCCCCTGGGTGACGCTGTCCCCGGTTCCGCAGGGCCGCGCCGTGGGGTCGTGGGTGCGGGCGCTGCTGAGCCGCGCTGGGTCGATGCCGGTATCGGTACCGGTGCCGGTACCGGGGCTCGCCCTGGCCCCGCGGGGCCCCGCCGAGGAGCCGCCTCTGCCCGGGTGGCCGCTGCCGCAGCTCGTCTCGTTGTTCCTGCCGGAGTTCCCCGTCCGCCCCTCCGCCCGCCAGCAGCAGCTCAAGGTGCCGTCCCGGGGCCCCCACCCTCCGAACGGGGTCCCCGAACATCCTCCTGGGGCGCCCGCGCATCCCGCATCCTTCCCCGGCAGCCCTGGGCGCCCTAGCGGGTCCCCTCGCACCCTGTACTGGGATTCCTGCTCGTCCTATCGGGGTTCCTGCACGTCCTACCGGGGTTCCCCAGCGCCCCGAGCATCCTCCTGCGCCGTCCGTGTATTCCGTGCCACCATCCCGGCACCGCCGACCGCCTTACCGAGCTCTCCCCGCACGCTGTACGGGTCCCTGTGCATCCTTAGAGGCGTCCCCGGCCGTCCCGCCGGGTCCCCTTCTACCCTCGCCACGTCCTCGTGCCCCGTGTCGAGTCTCTCTGTGTTCCACTGGGGTTCCTCTGCACCCCACCCGGATCCCGCGTGTAGTACCGGGGTCCTGTGCATTCTGTCAACATCCACCACTGTCCCGGTCCTCCGTGTCCCTGTGCCCCACGCTGGGTCCCCATGTATCCTGCTGGGATCCCTATTGGGTCCTCCAGGTCCCCATGTGTCCCCACCGTGCTCTGTGCCCACACCCTCCCCCCTCGCACCACCCCCTTCCTAAGCACCCCAAGCCCATCTCCATGGAGTGCTCAGACCCCGTTCCTTTCCCCCTCTCCCCCCCAGATCCTGGGCTTTGTGGCCAAAGGCTCCTTCGGGACCATCCTCAAAGTGCTGGACTGTGGGAGGGAGAAGGTCTGCGCTGTGAAGGTGGGTGCTGCCCCCGGGGCCCATGGGGTGCCCTCAGCTGCCCCTGTCCCCCTCTGACAGCCCCTCACGCCTCCCAGGTCGTGCCCAAAGTGGAGGTGCTGCGCCGCGACACCCTCAAGCAGTGCAAGGAAGAAGTCAGCATACAGGTTAAGGGGGGATCCAGGAGGGACCTCAGTCCGTGGAGGGGTTCAGGGGGGACATGAGGAGGCTGTGGGGGGTGCGGATGGAAGGTGGCAGAAGCGGAGTCCCCGGTCCCCCCTTGGCCCCCCACCCCGGGGGCCGCTCACCCTCTCTGCTTTGTATCCCCAGAGACAGGTCAGGCACCCGTTTGTCCACGGGCTGGGGGACAGCTGGCAGGGCCAGCGCCACCTCTTCATCAGTGAGTGACCATCTGCCTGCGGGCTCGCCCCGGCCCCCCCTGCCTGTGCACGTGTCCCTGCCGCTCGCACACGTGTCCCCGCACACGCACGCGCTCCCCCCGCGCAGCCGCTGCCCCGTGGGGATCCAGGCGCTTGGCTGCCGGCTCCCATCTCCCACCCCGCACCCACCACACGCACAGGGATGGGGGGATAGGGATGGAAACAAGCCACAGCAGCGCAGGGACTGGTGTGGGCATGAACAAAGCACCCCAGCCCTAGTGCCTCCATGGCCCCGGCGGCCCTGGTGGCTGTGCCACCTCAGTCCCTGCAGTTTGCATGTTGCCAGTGCCTGTGTGACCCCAAGGAACATGTCACTTTGGTACCTGTGTGGCCACAGTGCTGCCCACGTGGCTCTGGAGCCCATGTCACCATGGGCCACGGCCCCAGTACTCACATGCTCCCATGTTACCTTAGTCATGCCTTTGTCACCTTAGTGTCCATATTGCCCTGGTGCTTGTGCCACCTCACTGCCCTTATAACCCCAGCGCTTCCATCACCTCGCTGCACGGCCACGGTGCCCGTGTCACCTGGGTGCATGGCCACAGTTACCTCTGTGGAGTCCTGTGCCCATGCCACCGCGGTGTCCCTCATGCCTGCCTGGCCCCATGGTACAGCCCGTTGGTAAGGCACGTCCCCTGTCCCGGCAGTGTGCACCTACTGCAGCACTGGGGACCTGCACGCGCTCTGGCGCGCCGCCGGCTGCTTCGCCGAGGCCACCGTCCGCCTGTTCGCCGCTGAACTGGTGCTGGTGCTGGGTGAGTGACCTGCCATGCCGGGGGCAGCCACCACTGTCCTCACCAACGGGGACCCGCAGGTAGGATCAGCCATCCCCCAGCGTGGGCAGCTGCCTGCCAGGTGCACTGGGGGTGGCAGTGGGTACCGTGCTGGGAGGGGTCACGTGGCACTCACTGATGGCTCTGTCTTCTCCCCAGTGTACCTCCACGACCTGGGCATCATGCACAGAGATGTGAAGGTGGGTGGCAGCAGTGCTGGGGGGCTGGAGGATGGGGTGGGGGGTTTTCTGAACCCCTGGTATGGAGAAGCCACCTCAGTGCCTCTCTCATTTCAGATGGAGAACATCCTCCTGGATGAGAGAGGTAAGAGATTGGTGGCACCGTCTTGGGGACATCCCATCCAAGGGGATACCCTCTCCATGGGGACAACTTCTCCTGCCCTTGCAGGGCACCTCAAGCTCACAGACTTTGGCCTCTCCCGGTACCTGCAGTGGGGCGAACGAGCCCACACAATCTGTGGCACCCTGCAGTACATGGGTAAGGGGGCAGAGGGGGGCTATGGTGGGGGGCATGCCCCCCCCAGGTGCTCACCCACTCATCCCCACAGCCCCAGAGGTGCTGAGTGGGGGGCCCTACAGCCACGCAGCAGACTGGTGGTCCCTGGGAGTCCTGCTCTTCGCCCTGGCCAGCGGGGAGGTGAGGACCACAGTGTGGTGGGGGAATCAGGGACACCCCAGGGAGAGCCAGAATTCATTCCATGCCCCCTCAGTTCCCCGTGGCGCCGGCGGGGGACCATGTGGCCATGCTGGAACGTGTCAAACAGAGCAGCTATGAGAGCCCACCTGCATTCAGCCCTGAGCTGGCTCGGCTGCTTGCCGAGGTAACCTTCCTGCCTTGATTTTGGGGCTCCCTCCGGATGCTGGGATCCCCACCACTCACTGTCCTCCCTCTGTTCCCCAGTTGCTGTGCCACAACCCCCTGTACCGCCTGCGCTACCTCCACCACTTCCAGGGCCACCCGTTCTTCCGTGGAGTGGCCTTCGACGCTGACCTGCTGCAGAAGGATCCGGTGGTGGTGGCAGTGGCCCCGCAACCCCGCGAGCAGTCCCCGCCCGACCCCGCCACCTTCGCCGACTTTGACTACGACCTCGCCGCCTCCCCGGACCGGCCCTGGCCTGGCTGAGCCACCATGGCTGGTACCCTCGGCATCGCTCAGGGACATCCCCCCACCCCGGCAGCGGGTCGGACCCTGCTGGGCCGGGTCCCCCACGGGCTACCCGGGTACCCCCAACCTCACCCCCGGGTACCTCAACTCTGTACCTCTCCCCGCGGGAGCAATAAACCCGAGAGCCGCGGGCACTGCTGAAGGTGCTGCCCTGACTCCTGCGGGACGTCCGGGGGGAAAGCGCGACCACCGCGGCGGGTCGCGGGACTGGAGCCCCGATCCCTCGGGTCGGGGTCGGGGCAGATCTGGAGGGGTGTGTGTAAGGCTGGTTCCCCAGGGGCGGGCGCTGGGGGAGCCCCAGGGTCGGGAAGGAGTTGGGTCCGTGCCCCGTCCGTCTGTCCGTCTGTCCGTCTGTCCGTGCCTGGGGCCGAGCAGGGCGATGGGGGGCGGGGCTTCCCGGGAGTGGGCGCGGCCTCCGCGCAGGCCCCGCCCTCGCGGTGACGCGCGCGCGGCGCAGTCAATCAGAGGCACCTCTGGTTTTCAAACCGGCGGCGCGCGGGCGGCGGGGCCGGGCCGAGAACCGGCACACGAGACCACCCGGGCGGGGCACACACCGACACCGAGAGCAGGCCCGAGAGCGAGAGTGAGGGCGAGACCGAGACCGAGAGCGTGAGCAGGGCCGGCACCCTTCCCGGGCCATGCAGGCCGCCAAGACTCCCGCCGTGAGTGCGGGCCGGGGCTGGCGGGCGGTTTGGATGATCCAGTGGGGCGGGGAGGGGCGAGGGGGCGGTGGCGGTTTCAGGGCGGCCCGGAGCGCTCCCGGTATCTCTGTGTGTGTGTGTGCGTGTGGAGGCGGCGGCACTGCCCGTGCTGCTGCCGGTGACCCTCGGTGTCCGCCCAGGCTCAGAAGCGGCCCCCGCGCATCGCTCTGCAGGAGCTGCAGCTGCAGCCGAGCGCCGACCGGACCGGGCTGACCCCGCTGTTCCACCGGCTGCGGCTCAAGGTCGGTGTGCGGCGGGTAACGAACGGGTAACGGAGAGAGCTGCTGGAGTGCACTGGAACTGGGGACGCTGCAGGGCATAGGGGGCACTGGGCGGGCCGGTGAAGTGAGATAACGCGCAGGTACCCTCGAAATGCCAGGCAGTGGAAGGATTGTAGGAAAAGTTATTGCCGAAGTCGAGAACTCTAGACTTAAAAGAACGTTAACCTTATCGGCGTTTCAAACACCGGGCCCTGGGAAAAGGCACTCCCCCCCTGTTCTTCTCAGGGTTTTTATCATCCCTGCCTGCCCCCCGCTCTGTGGGGGCCTTCGACATGTCTGTAGGACTTATACTTCTCATACCAGGGAGCTTTTCTCTGGAATGGGGGAGGAGAAAACATTAAAACTGCCTGTGGGGAAAGATCCCTCTTCTAGGCAGGAAAGGTTTTTTAAGTGAAAACTAGAGTCTTGTAAAATCTTTCGGAAGGGTCTTCTACCCTTACAGGGCAGTGGGGTGGGGGGAAATGGGGAGGCTGGGGAAATGGAGGCTGGGTGCAGGGGGGAAAGGCTGCCCTGACATCCCCTTCCCCCCAAATGTCCTGTAGGACCATGACTGTGCCACCCCAGTGTCCCGTGCCTGGGGCCCCTGCAGCAGAGTCACCAAGGTGCCTGGCACCCCTGGACCCCTGCGAAGTGCTACCCTACCCCCCTCCAGCAGCACCACCTCAATGCCTTGCACCCCAGGGCCCCAGAACAGCACCACTTCGGAGCCCTCCAGGACTTCTACCCTGGGCCCCCACAGCTCGGAGCTCCCCAGGACTCCCACTCTTAAGCCTGGTGCCTCTGAGGCCCCCAGCAATCCCGCCCTTATGCCTGGTGCCTTGGAGCCCACCAGTAGCACCAGCCCAGAGGCCCCCGGCAGTCCTATTCCAAAGGTCAGCACCCCAAAGCACCCTGACAACACTGTGCCAGCACCTCTGTGCAGCCTGGTCCAGAGGCTCAGCAATACGGAGCCCTCCAGCATCACTGTGCCAGCCTCCACATGCAGCTCCATCCCAGTCCCCAGCACCCTGGAGCCCTCTGGAAACACTGTGCCAGCTCCCCTGTGCAACTCCATCCCTGTGCCCAGCACCCTGGAGTCCTCTGGAAAGGCTTTGCCAGCTCCCCTGTGCAACTCCATCCCTGTGCCCAGCACCCTGGAGTCCTCTGGAAAGGCTGTGCCAGCTCCCCTGTGCAACAACATTTCTGTGGCCAGCACACCAGAGTCCCCTGGAAAGGCTGTGCCAGCTCCCCCGTACAACTCCATCCCTGTGCCCAGCACTCCTAAGTCTCCTGGCAGTGCCACGAAAGCTCCCCTGTGCAGCTCCATCATAGGACCCTGCACCCCAGGGCCTCCTGGCACCAGCTCCACCCCACAGAATGTTTCTTTCCATGGGTGGCAAGTGACACCCCCAGACTTTTCCTGCAGCCCTGTGGCCTCTGAGTCCCCATCTGGAGATAAGAGTGCTGGTCCTCTGCCTTGCCAAGGCACCCCTGAGGGAGCCGAGTCCCCCGCCCCTGCCCCTCGAGAGCAGAGCCCACCTGGACTTGCTTCCATCGGGACAAGTGTGTTGGAGCCTGCTGGGTCAGAGGCAACCATCGCCCCTGTCACCTCTCCTGAGTCGGCCCCAGGTGCTGTGTCCTGGGTGTTACCCCTGGAGTGGCTGGAGAAGACCCTCAATGTCCCATCCCTGCAGCACAGCCTGCCCTTCCACATGCCACAGCAAGATGCCAACTGCAGTGTCACCCCTGTGTCCACCACGGTCACTGGCACCAGCAAGACCCCAGTGGCTAGTGTGGATGCTGGCACCAGCACGACCCCTGTGTCCACCGCGGTCACTGGCACCAGCAAGACCCCAGTGGCTAGCGTGGATGCTGGCACCAGCACGACCCCTGTGTCCACCGCGGTCACTGGCACCAGCAAGACCCCAGTGGCTAGCGTGGATGCTGGCACCAGCACGACCCCTGTGTCCACCGCGGTCACTGGCACCAGCAAGACCCCAGTGGCTAGCGTGGATGCTGGCACCAGCACGACCCCTGTGGCCAGCGTGGTGACTGGCACCAGCACGACCCCTGTGGCCAGCATTGTGGCTGGCACCAGCACGACCCCTGTGGCCAGCGTGGTGACTGGCACCAGCACGACCCCTGTGGCCAGCATTGTGGCTGGCACCAGCACGACCCCTGTGGCCAGCGTGGTGACTGGCACCAGCACGACCCCTGTGGCCAGCATTGTGGCTGGCACCAGCATGACCCCTGTGGCCAGTGGGGTTGCCGGCACCTTCGTGGCCATCCAGGACCTGTGGGAAAGGAGCATAAACAGATCTGGGGGAGGCCTGCTCTGTGCCAAGGACAGTGCTACAGAAACAGACTCCTTGCTCTGGCGGTAAGTATGAGGACATACCCCCCTGGCTGGGGCTGTGGCACCTGTGGGCTGTCCCTGCCCTAAGCCCTCTCTGTCCCCAGCTGTCCCCCGGAGGAGCTGAAGACCCTGCCACGGGCAGAACTGGAGGGGCGGCTGGAGAGCACCCTCATCATCATCGAAGCCCTGGCGCTCCAGCTGCGTAGCTTGCAGGGGAGCCAGCGGCTGCTGCCTGGTGTGGGGCCGGCTGAGCAGAGGGACGCGATCACACAGACGGACATCACCCGCCCTGAAGGGGTAAGAGTCCTCTCTGAGGTGATGCCACCCCGTTCCCCGCAGCCTCGGTGCCGTGACAGTGCCCATGTGCCGCTGGCGAGACGGTGACCCCGGCTGGGCTTCAGCCCAGTGGAGTGGAAGTAAAGCAGGGCTGCTGCAGCACAGCATCACATGCCCGATTGCTGCATTATCACGCCCGGATCAACCCGCTGAGTTTGCTGGATTTGAACCCTTGTGGGGGGAAACATCCCTGGCACATGCAGAGGGAGGATGGAAGATGTCATGGCTGACCAGCTCTTGCTGGACCCAGGGTAGAGTGGGGCTGGTGCTAAGCCCTCTCTGCTCTGCTGGATGCCCTTAGGAGGAGGAGATTTACCACCACCTCTACCTCGAGCAGTGGAAGAAAACAGCGGCCCTGCAGCGGCAGCGGGGAGCAGAGCAGGATCTGCAGCAGGAGCTGGAGCTGGCTGCCAAGAACGTGGTGTGTCTCACTGGCTGCATGCAATGAGTGTGCTGGGTCTCAGCTGGGCAGGGCACACGTATGTGTCTGGCGCTGTCTGCGCCAGCTACAGGAGTGCTGCTGGAACTCCAGTGTCCTTGTCCCTTCCCTAGACCGCCTGGAGGAGCCAGTGCCTCCTGTTCCGGGGCCTCGTGGATGCTGCCTTTCAGAGATTGCAGGATGAGAAGGGAGCCCTCACACAGGAGGTGAGCCCTCACGTGTCAGTCTGGTTCCCCTTTCCCTTGGGTTTTGGGAGATGCTGGTGCTGCCAGCACCCACGGCAGCTGTCCCCAGTGTCTCACAGTGCTGTCTCCTCCTGTAGCGGGAGCAGGTGAGGGCTCTGGTGTCCCAGTGCAAGGCCGTGCTGGAAAGAGTGCCCAGCAAACTGAAGAGCTGCCTGGAGGAGCGGGATGTCATGAGGCAGCGAGCAGACGAAGCCCTACAAGCCAAGGAGGAGGTAAAGGGGGAGCTGTTGGGAGCAGTCTCTCCTGTGTTCATGCCTTTGCTAAGGCATCCTGTGTCTCTGCCCCTCTCTGGGGGGTGAGGGTCTCCTGGCATCCCAAGGGAAAAACCCATTATGGAAGGCCAAGGGTGCTGTGGCTGCGTGGGGAGATGTAGCTCTCTGGATGGGTTTTTGGTGTGGTCTGTGTCTCGCTGGGAGCAGGAATCCTAGGCTGACACAACATGCAGAGATGGCTCCTGGGAGTTGCCCCTCATGCAGCAGCATGCCTGGGGCAGCATCCTCTCCTTTGCAGGGCTATCGCTTCCTGGAGGCCTTCCGCGCCCACGCCAGCGCCCAGATCAGTGCCCGTGACCAGAGCTTGGCCTCCCAGAGAGAGCTGTGCACCCTGCTGGCAGAGGCCATCGACCTGCAGGTACTGAGTGGGGTGGTACCCCCAGCTGCCCCCTACCTGGGTGATCGGGGGCTGGAAGGGCATCCCCATGTCCTGAGCTTGGATGATGCTCTGCGATGGGCTTGGATGGGGTTGGGCGCACCAGAGGTTTCCTGGTGCTGCTGCTGGGAAGCTACTGCAAATTTGGCCTCAGGGCTGTCACTTGCCTCCTCACATGGCCATTAAATGTTGCTTCTCCACCATGGCACCGCTGACTCATGTCTCCTACCCCACAGAAATCCCTGTCTGCCGAGGCTCAGGCTTTCCGGAAAATCAGAGATGTCACCTTTGAAAATCTGCAGAAGGAAAGGAAAGCCATGAATGTGGAGGTGAGGGGTGTCCCGGGGGGCTCAGCCTCTTGCTGCCCTGCCAGTGCTCTGTGCCATGAGCAGCCCAACTGCAGACCTGTCCCTGGTCACACAGCAGGGCAGTGCCATGCTGAGCTGCCTGGTGCTGTCTCCCTTCCCAGCGGGAGCAGGTGAGGGCCCTGATGTCCCGGTGCAAGGCCGTGCTGGAAAGAGTGCCCAGCAAGCTGCGGAGCTGCCTGGAGGAGCGGGATGCCAAGAGGCAGCGAGCAGACGAAGCTCTTCAAGCCAAGGAGGAGGTAGGGAGGTGCCTGGTGCTGAGTGATGTCCAAGGCACAGGGTGATTTGGGGCACCCCATGGGGAAGAGCAGCCTAAAACAAGCACTGTGCCCCCACAGGTGTCCCACCAGCTGCTGGAGACCTCGATGGCCCTGCAGAACGCGGAGGCTCAGCTGGAGCAGCTGACGGTGGCCAACTCACGCCTTGCAACAGGTAGGGGTGGGTAACATGGGGGTTGGTAGCTGCCCCATCCCCACTGCCCCTGTCCTTCTGCACTGACGGCTCTGTCCCTCAAAGACCTGAGCTCCGCGATGACAAATCATGCCAGTGTGGAACAGGAGCGGGATGCACTGCAGCAGGATAACAAGAAGCAGCAAGAGAAGATGGACGAGTGGGTTTGAGCCCTGGGTCCTGAGCCCCTTCTCACCCCTTGCCCCCAAAATGCAGCACCCCCTGACTCCATCCCCCCCGCATAGGCTGGCACAGGAGAACAAGACCCTGAAGGGGAGGTGTGATGAGCTGTGCCAGGAGCTGCTGGAGGCCACTGAGTGGCGGGAGGTAGGAGCTGCCTGACCCTGCCTGCACTGTTAAGTGCTGCTGGCCCCCATGATGGCCTCTCCAGAATGCTGGCAACTGGCCAGGAGCGGGATTAGCCCTCCTGCAGAGGGGGGATGAGCCCTCGAGGGCGGTTGACATCCCGCACGTAGCACAGCTTTTCATCCTGCCCATCGGGTGATTCCCCAGGAGGGGGCTGGGCAGCTCTTGGAGATAATTTTCCCCTGCAGGCATGGAGCCATTTCCCAGCCTGTCCTATGTCCCTAGTAAACTGCTGGTTTCCAGGAGTTATCTGCTGGGATAAAGCTGCCCTTGATTGGAAACAGCACCCTGAGGCAGGGGAGGGTCTGTGCTGGGGGTCCCAATGGGCCCCTCTGGGTCTCTCTTTGGCTGCTCATGGCCATGTCCCTCCACTCTCTTGCAGTTCCTTGATCAGGAGAACAACATGTCCCGCATGCAGCTGCTGGAGGTGGAGGCCAGGCTGAACTCCACACAGGCCACTCTGCAGGAGCGTACCCTGCAGCACGAGAAGCTGATGGATTCCCACCAACGCCTGCGGTACTGCCCCACTCACCATCTCCACTTGAACCCCTCTATTTTTAGGAAATCAAGCCCTTCCTGGGGGCTGGGGGAGACAGAGGGGACCATGGCTATGGTCATTTCTGCCCCAGCCAAGTGTGGTTGTCCAGGTGGGTGGGAGACACTTGGAGAAGCCCAGCAGAGACCCCATCTTGGGGTAAGCTTCCCAAATCTGTAGGATTTGCACTATTTCTCGTTCATGGTGAGAGGCTGGCATGGGAAATGTTCCCATCTCACATCAAGGAGGGGGAATATGCTGCTCCTGCTGAGGCTGATGCCATCCCATAGGGAAGAGCAAGCTGCCCTGAGCAAGGAGGTAGAGAGCACCAAGGCCGAGCTCCTCAATGTGCAGATGAAGAGGAGAAAAGTTTCCTGGTGCTCCAAGGACATTGCAGAGTGCCACATGCGGCTGCAGGAGCTTGCTGACTGCCTCAAGGCCTCTCTAGAAGAGCAGGTAGGAACCTTGTGCTGGGGACAAAGGGCAGTCACACACCCGTGCCTCTCCATGGCGTAGCTTCCAGACCCCTGTGCTTGCTGGGGCAGTCACAAGCTGCACTCTGGTGCTGTGCTCTCCTTCCCCTCTGAAGGATAACGATGATGCCCCATCGAGAAGCAAAGCCTGGACTCCGGCAGGGCGGGCCACAGGCTGGCAGACACCCCGGCGTGCCTGGACCCCTGCCTTCCGCACGCCAGCACACCGCACCCCACACTGCACCGGCAGCTCCTTCGTGGGCAGCGTCCTGAAAGCCATGTCAGGGAAAGGTGAGCTGGCACCCCCTGCCTGGGTTTTGGGGCATGAGGATGGGGATGGCTCCCTCCCGTGCTGGGGGATGTGCAGGGCTGGGCATAGCCTCTGTTCTCTCCTCTCGCAGATGCCAATGAAGCCACCAGAGGTGGGAGTGCTGTTACCAAGGACAAACTCACATCCACACCAAAGCCAGAAGGTATTGGGGCTGTCACCGTGCCCTGGACCCTGCTGCAAAACTGCAGTGCTGCTGCACAGAGTGATGAGCAGGGATGCCTTCCTCTGTGTCCCCTGTGGCTGGTGTCCCTCTGTGCCGCTCACAAGGCTCTTCCCTGCCTCCAGATCCTGAGGAGAGTCTGCTGGAGAGCGTGAAAGAGCTGAAAGCTGTGGTCTCCAACCTTGCCATGCTGAGCTTCCGCATCCAAGAGCTGGAGCAGAGCGAGTTCAAGGCACTGCAGATGGAGATGTGAGTTCAGCAGGGGCTCACATCAAAGGCCAGACAGGGGCATCACTCTCCTGGGCATGGCTTCTCCTGCAGGCAGCCTGCCTGTGTCTGCCTCTTGCCCCAGCTCTGGATTAGACCTCTTGTGCCATGGCTAGATGGGCTTTTTCCAGCTGGCTGGGTTTGGACAGTTGTCTTCTCACACCATGGGGCTGATGGGATGCCCAGAAAGAGGTTTGGTACCTGGTGCTGTGATCCCCAGCCGCTCACCACCACTGTCCTCTCCCAGTTCCGACTTGCAACTCCGTCTGGAGACGGTGACAGAGGAGAACCAGGAAAAGATGGATGCCCAGGCTGCCACCATTGCCAAGCTGAACAAGGCACTGAGGACCAAGATCGAGGTGAGCTCTGCCAGAAGTGGGCCAGTGCTCACCCCAGGGCAGAGCCGAACTGGGACGGGCACTGATCTAGGACACGGAGAAATCTGGTGATGCCCCATGGGTGCTCCTGGCTCGTCTGACCTTCTTGAACATGAGAAAACCCTCTTCCCCACAGGGTGCTGGGGGTGTCCAGGGCTGGGTACTGCCTGACACTGCTTCTTCCTCCCTTGCAGAGTGAGAAGGAGCTGCAGGACGTGGTGAAACAGCAGGAAGAGAAGATGTTGAAACTCATCGACAAGAGTGGGGAAGTCACGGTGTGTGATGGGGGGCACAGCTGGGCTGCACGCTGGGGGGGCTGCTGGTCCCAGGACTCCTCTCAGCAACTCCTCTCCCCCCACAGATGCTGAAGGAAGAGGTTTCCCAGCTGAAGCGCTTGCTCCAGCGTGCAGAGACAGAGGCCAAGGTGCTGTGGGAGGAGATGCGGGAGAAGGAGCCCAAGGTGGACACTGCCCATGTCCAGGACCGGGTCTGGCTACGGCAGGAGGTGAGGCCAGGGGGCTGCTGAGGACTCCTCATGTCACCAACCCTGCCCTGGACAAGAAGAGCTCTCCAAACCTTGCTCCCTGCAACACCCCCCTAGCCCAGGGCTCTTTCCCCACAGTGATCTCAGCAGTGCTCACTCCTTTTGCAGGTGGATAAACTGCGGCTGCTGCTCCTGGAAAAACGAGATGAGAAACGGCTGCTCTATGACAAGTGCCTGGCACAGGTATGGAGAGCCCCAAGGGGCTGCCTTGGCGCCAGTCATAAAATCAGAATGGTTTGTGTTGGAAGGGACCTTTTAAAGATCATTTAGTTCCAACCCCCCTGACATGGGCAGGGCTCCCCTCTCTCTTTTGGGCTCATCCCTGCCCAGGTTTGGAGCAGGCTCCTGACAGGCATCTCCCACTGCAGGAAGCGATGCTCCGTGATGTCCAGAAAGAGCACATGAAAGAGCTGAGGACCCACGAGGAGATGAAGGAGAAGATGAAAGAGGTGAGGTTTATGGTTCATTGCTCACCCTTATTGTGACTGCAGTAAAACCATCTCCCATCCCAAACACTCACTAATGCTTCTGCTGTCCCCAGGTCCTGTCAGCCATCCCTGAGGTGGTGGTGGTCTGCCAGGAGTTCCACAGCCTGCTGCGGTACCTGGGCCTGAAGCCAGACAGCAAGGAAGCTGCTGAGCCGCTGCCCCAAAACCCCTAGCCTGAAACCTTTCTGTTCCTAATGTTATAATTGTTTATTGAATAAAGTTTTGTTGGCGTTTACCCTGTCTGGTGCGTGGATTCAGGAAGCTCCTGGTGCTCTGGGTGGGGACAAATTGTCCAGCCTGTGCCGGCTGCTCCTGTTCCGTCATGGGGCCGTGGGCACAGCTCCTTGCCACCCCAGGGCCTCTCCTTCTTGGCAGGGGCCACATCCCCCGCTGCCAGTGCTTGCTCTCAATGAGGCGCTGCATTCCCCAGGCTCCCACCCTGCGGCCTCGGCAGCAGCCGGACTGTCCGGGCTGAGCCAGCTTCCCTCCCCGGCTCCCCCCTCCTCCTCCTGCCCTAGATTCCCTCTGCGACCCCCCTCCTCCTTCCCCCTCCACTGGGATCATCTGGATCCTGCACACCCCCATCGTGGGGTTGTGGGCACATGCCTGTCGTGTCAGGATGGTTCTAGAGGCTGGATCCTGCTCCTCATACCGGGGCTGTGGGCACATGCCTGTTGCACAGGGACGTTTCCCCTGCCCAGCATGATTCCAGCAGGCAGCATCCCATGGCTCAGCCAGTGCTGGGAGCTCTGCCAGCTCCTGCTCCCAACCCCCCCCTTGGCCCCCGCTGCTGCATGGAGGGGGGCTCCCTTTAGGGGCTCCCCTGCTCCCAGCACAGCTCCAACCTCACTTCCCTCCTTCCCTGCTAGGGCAGCTCCTGCGGGATCCCCATCCCGGTGTTCCCGACCCCAAGGATGCTCCCCATCGCCGTGGGGACCACATGGCACCTCCCTCCCCTGCGATGGCCCAAAATAGCAGCACTCAAACAAGTGCTCTGGTTTTTAATGGCCTGTTTCTCCTGCCCAAGGGGGGGGAATCACCTTCCCCTGCCCTCTGCCACAGCCCTGGTGCTCTGTGCGAGGCAAGGGACTGTGATACCCTCGGTGCTGGCACCCTGATTTCCCCAGGGAATGGAGGTGTTTTCCCTGGGAAATGGAGGTGTTTGGGACCATGCCTCTGCTTCCCGGGTGTGTGGGTGGCCCTTGGGGAAACAGCACTCGCTTCTCCCTGGCATCACCTCCCTCCCTGCTCTGGCTGTGACCCCGCTGGCTGCGGGGATGGCGGGTATGGCCCCCCAAGATGAGAGGCTGGCAGTGGGGGCTCCCGGCTCTGTGATGCAGGAAGAAATGTGCTCCTTTCCCTGGATTAGGGCCACGCGGGGCAGCTGAGCCCTCCTTTTACGGCGGGATTCAGCACAGCGGGGCCCTGGCAGCTGTCCCCGTGGGGTGAGTGGGGACACTGGTATTGTCCCTGTGCTGGTTCCAGCCGGTTGTTTAGGGGGGTTGGTCTCCAGTGAGTGCCCCCACCCTGTCCTGGGGCCTCTGGGGCTCAGCACTGCTGGGGCTTGGTCCCTGGTTGCAGAGGTGACCCAGCCGGGGTGTCTGGAGCATTAACAGTGGGGTGGCACAGTGACCCCAGCCTGGGGGTGGCACGGGGGGTCCCTAGCCCAGAGGTGATGAGAGGAAGGTCTCTGTTCCTAGCTGGTAGTGGAAATAGGGGGGCACAGCGGTTTCCCCAGCCTGGGGATGGCACAGGAGGTCGCTGCCCCTAGTTGACAGTGGCACGAGGGGGGCACAGTGGGTCCCCAGCAGTAGCAAGGGGGTGGCAGACGAGGTCCTTGCCCATAACCAGGCAGGGGTCTGTGGGATAGAAGGGTCTCCAGCAGCAAGTGGTGGTGGCACAGTGGGGTGCCTGTGTGGCACGGGGGGGCCCTGCCCATGGCAGGGGGTGACTCAGCTGTGTCCCCGGACTCTGTGTGTGGGGGGAGCACAGAGGGGTCCCCATCATCAGCGAGGGGCTGCAAAGGGGAGGTACAACAGGGTCCCCAGCCCGGGGTTGTCACCCTGGGGTCCCAACCAGCGCGGGGGTTGTCGCCGGCGGGCGGGGGAGGAGGCACGACGCCGGCGGGGGGATTGTGGCCGGCGGGGGCGGGCCCGGGGGCCGGTCCTGCCCGGTGCCGCCCCGCCGGTCACGTAGCTCTGCGGCATCGCAGCCACATTTACCGGGGGGCCGGAGCTCGCAGCCCGCAGTTCGCGCCCGCCGCCGCCGCCCTACACGGTACGGGGGAGCCGGGGGTCGGGGGGAGCCGGGGGGCTGGGGGGAGCTGCCGGGGGGCAGCCGGGGGACGCCGGCGGCGGGAGGCGGCAGCCCCGCCAAGCCTCTGGGATGTTTCCGTGCGGCATCCCCGGGGGTCGTGCAGGGCTGGGGGGCTCCAGGGCAGAGGGACCCCCGGACATGGGGGTGTTGGGGGGTCAGGGAGACCCCGGAGACTCCCTGTGCGCTGGCGGAGCTCGAGCCTCGATGGTACCGGCCGGGGAATGCGCTGCTCCCAGGGGCATCATTGGCCCCGCGACGGCGCCAGCCTCGGTGTATCGCCATCCCTGGGGTACCCCAAACTCCGAGTACCTCCATTCCTGGCTTGTGCCCCCAGGCGTCTCCCCGTTCCCTATTCCCGGGGTATTTCCGTTCTTCCGGGTTATCGTCATGCCCCGCGTACTTCTCCGCGGGGTATCCCCGGCCCTGGGGTATCACCATCTCCGGCGTCCCCCAAGCCCCGGGTACCGCCAGACGCAGGTAGTGCCTCCCTGGGGTCTCTTCTTCCCTCTTTCCCGGGGTATTTCCGGCCCCCCGGTATCCCCATCCCCGGGCTGTTTCTATCGTCCGCGGGATATTCCCGGCCCCAGGGTACCCTCATCCCCATCCCCGTGCCCTCGGGGCCCTGCCCCGGTCCCCGCGGAGCTGCGCTCCCTCAAGATGGCTGGGCTGGGGGCGGGCTGGCAAGGCAGCAAAATGGCTGGGAACTGCCCGGCATCCTCCAGGAATGCCCGCCACGAGGCTTACACAACACCCCCTGACCGGTGGGGCGGGGGTCCCAGCCCCGTGGAGGGTCCCGGGTCCCCGCAGGAGGGGGGTACGTGTGGTTTCGGGAGCCGCCCCGGTGGTGCGTGACTCAGTCCCCGTGCGCTCGCAGCCACCGCCACCATGACGCACCAACACCCCGCGCTCACGGCCGAGCAGAAGAAGGAGCTGTCGGACATCGCGCTGCGGATCGTGGCCCCCGGGAAGGGCATCCTGGCAGCCGATGAGTCCGTAGGTCAGTTTGGGGAAAGGGGGGATCTGCCCCGCCACCCCTTTTCCCCACCCCGGAGGCTGACGAGGTTGTTGGGTGCCCTCAGGGAGCATGGCAAAGCGCCTCAACCAGATTGGAGTGGAGAACACGGAGGAGAACCGCCGGCTGTACCGCCAGATCCTCTTCAGCGCCGATAGCCGGGTGAAGAAATGCATCGGGGGGGTCATCTTCTTCCACGAGACCATGTACCAGAAGGCTGATGATGGCACCCCCTTCGTCCAGATGATCAAGGACAAGGGCATCGTTGTGGGCATCAAGGTGTGGGGGGGATGTCCGGTGGGTTTGTGGGGTGCTGAGGGTGCTTGGAGGGTGCTGCCGGGGGCTCAGCACTGCCTTCCCTTCACTCCACAGGTGGACAAGGGTGTTGTGCCACTGGCTGGGACAGATGGCGAGACCACCACGCAGGGTAGGTAGAGCGGGCAGGGGATGGGGCTGGGGCCGGGAGGTCTGGGGCCATGGGTCTGGGGCTGTTGGGCTGACGCACTGCCCGGCAGGTCTGGATGGGCTGTGGGAGCGCTGTGCCCAGTACAAGAAGGACGGGGCGGACTTTGCCAAGTGGCGCTGCGTGCTGAAGATCAGCGAGCACACCCCCTCCGCGCTCGCCATCATGGAGAACGCCAACGTCCTGGCCCGCTACGCCAGCATCTGCCAGCAGGTCTGTGTGTGGGGCCAGGCATCGCCCCATGGGGTGGGCAGTGACCTGTAGGATGGGTATTAACCTGTGTGGGCGGGTATTGCCCCATGGAGGCGGGCACAGATCCGTGAGGCTCAGCATTGACCCTGTGCATTGATGACCCCTGGGGATCATCCCATGGGTGGGGCGGGATGTGACCCGTGCGCTAGGTAACACCTCACGTGGGTTATTGGGCATTGCCCCGTGGGGTGGTCATCACTCATGGGATCAGGCATCAGTCCGTGGGGCCAGACATTGCTCTGTGGGGCTGGGTATCACCTCACAGAAAGAGACATTGCTCCATGGGGTCAAGAATTGACCCTCCCAGGCTGGGCATCCCCCCGTGGGGCTGGGCATCGCTGGCAAGGGTTTTGGTGTTGAGCCTTGGGGGTGAGCATCGCTCCCTGGGTGTGGGCATTGTCCCACACAGCCATGGGGCTGGGGGATGCCCAGGGACATCACCGTGACTGCATCTGTCTGCTGTTTGCAGAACGGCATCGTGCCCATCGTGGAGCCAGAGATCCTGCCTGATGGCGACCACGATCTCAAGCGGTGCCAGTATGTGACGGAGAAGGTGAGTGGTGAGGTGGCAGCAGGGTGTGCTGTGCTATGCTGTGCTGTGTCCTGCTGGGGGGACTCCACACTGCCCATCCTCCCCAGGTGCTGGCAGCTGTCTACAAGGCACTGAGCGATCACCATGTCTACCTGGAGGGGACCCTGCTGAAGCCCAACATGGTGACCCCCGGGCACTCCTGCCCCACCAAGTACAGCCCCGAGGAGATTGCCATGGCCACTGTCACCGCTCTGCGCCGCACTGTGCCCCCAGCCGTGCCAGGTACCAGCCCTGGGATGTGGCAGGGACCAGGAGGGGGATGGCCTGCGTCCCCCCGCCCAGTGCCATAACCCTGCTCTCTGCAGGTGTCACTTTCCTGTCTGGGGGTCAGAGTGAGGAGGAGGCTTCCATCAACCTCAATGCCATCAACACGTGCCCACTGGTGCGGCCATGGGCCCTCACCTTCTCCTACGGGCGGGCGCTGCAGGCGTCGGCACTCAGCGCCTGGCGTGGGCAGAGGGACAACGCTGACGCCGCCACCGAGGAGTTTGTCAAGCGTGCAGAGGTGAGGGGGGTGGCCCTCCTGGGAGGGGGTGCTGAGGGCTGTGTCCCCTGGGGTGGTAGGGACACCAAGGGCTGTGCCACCATGGG